TTTTTTTTTTACAGTTATAGAGGCATTTTTTTGTTTTTCTTTTGTTCTGAAATTGTGGGTTGTTTACAAACTAATATTTCTAGAGTCTGAGGAGGATTTCTTTTAGAGGAAGGAGCTCGCTGGTGTCACGATATGCAAAATATAATCACATTTCTCTCCCTTCAGATTAAGAGTTTAGTGCTTTGCTCATCAACGCTGCTGAAATCTGTCATGTTTTTAAGTCCCTTCACTGACTCGTGCGGTCGCGTGAAATGTCCCGTATTTGTGCTTTATGACCTGAATCGGAGTCAGATCCGGCACTTCGCCCGAGGCTGACTGTCGCTGATGGTGAAGTTTTATAATTTTCTTGTTTTTTTTTTTCCAAAGTCCCGGAGCTCTAAAGACGCCGCGGTGTGAAGACGTGACCCCCGCCGCACCTGTCTCACCTGTCGCACCTGTCTCACCTGTCGAGGGCGGGTGCAGCGGTGTGAACACCGGAGCTCGATGGTGGACTGGTCCCTGAACGAGGAGCGGGTAAATTTCTCGGTTATCGTCCCCGTGGTCATTTAAGAGCTTTATTGTTCTGTACTCATTCCTGGAACAATTTCCCTGTTTAAATCAGAGCTTTAATTCAGATTTAAAATAATTTAATTCTGAATAAAAATGAATTCTGCTTTAAATAGATCACGTAAACACTTAATTCCTAATGATTATTCAGAATTAAACTTAAATCCGAATTAAGTAGATGGTTTATTCTGATTTTAAAGCTGAATTAATTTATTCTGTGATCATGTAAACTAGGGATGGGCATGATTAGTCGATTAATCGATAATTGATCATTACGAATTTCATCGATTACGTACATTTTAAATCGACAAACCGAATGTAGGTTGCTGTGTGTAATGTGACCAAACAGGTGTGGACATGTGTGTCTGCATCAGAAGGAGCGAGACACAGTCAGTCTGTAATAGGGACGGGCATTCAATGAAATTTTCTTAATTGATCGTTGGAAGAATTAACGATCGATTATCGATTAAACATGAACGTTTTTACATTAAAATGATCATCATTATTATTACTATCTGCACTAATCTGCAGAAATAAATTCAACTTTACGACATATAAACATAACGACTCTAGATCCACATCAGCTGTTTGACATTATAATGTGTTTAATTCAGTTTTGTTCAAATCTCACAGAAACAAAACTTAAAACCACATCACTAATTTACATAAACTAAGTGAAGATAAAACTCCAGCTCTTGTGTCGCTGATGTGGTTCAACTTGTGTTGGATTAAAAGACATGACTCAGGTGAATACAGGTCAGTGTGACCAGATTTGTGTTTGTCAAAACCAGGACAGCGTACGGGGGGAGGGGGGCGGGGCCTCGTCATCCACATTGAGCGACTCTCACCTGGAAAAACTTTTTCCCACTGGACACAGAAACATATGTGCTGCTTTATCCACTGTGCACATGGACTCACACTTGTCCCAACGCAACGGAAAAGTGTGGAATTTCTTCTACAAATCCTGGTTAAATCCACATTTGTGCTTCGGTTCGTTACAGACTGACCCACTGTTTGTGTCTCGCTCCTTCTGATGCAGAGACACATGTACACACCTGTTTGGTCACGACACACAAACATACATTCAGTTTGTCCATTAAAATGAACGTAATCGATGAAATTCTTAATGATCAATTATCGATTAATCGACTAATCATGCCCATCCCTAATCTGTAACGAACCGAAGCACAAATGTGGATTTAACCAGGATTTGTAGAAGAAATTCCACACTTTCCGTTGCGTTGGGACAAGTGTGAGTCCATGTGCACAGTGGATAAAGCAGCACATATGTTTCTGTGTCCAGTGGGAAAAAGTTTTTCCGGGTGAGAGTCGCTCAATGTGGATGACGAGGCCCCGCCCCCCTCCCCCCGTACGCTGTCCTGGTTTTGACAAACACAAATCTGGTCACACTAACCTGTATTCCGTCATGCCGAGTCGTGCCGCATCATCGACACAAGAGCATTTTTTATTTTATTTTTTTCCCCTTCGCTTAGTTTATGTAAATGAGTGATGTGGTTTTAAGTTTTGTTTCTGTGAGATTTGAACAAAACTGAATTAAACACATTATAATGTCAAACAGCTGATGTGGATCTAGAGTCGTTATGTTTATATGTCGTAAAGTTGAATTTATTTCTGCAGATTAGTGTAGATAGTAATAATAATGATGATCATTTTAATATAAAAACGTTAATGATGAATTGATAATTGCTTAATTCTCCCGACGATCGATTTAGAAAATTTAATCGAATGCCCATCACTATTGTAAACGTTTATTCCGCTTAAATAATAATTCCGGTCGTTCAGTGCATGTGCGTTGGGTCACACTTCTGACGTGACGATGCACTGGTGAAAAAAGGTGGTGCAAAACATCTGGACAGAAACGCGAATCCCAGTTGGTTATTCGGTCGGTTGTTGGAAGCGTCTGTTCTCTGTGCTCTTGGTTCTTCCCCGGGGAAAACTCTTCTCAGGCCGAGGCTCCAGCTCATCTGGACTCGACCTGAACCGGAGCTGCTCCCGCTGGTTCAGAAGTCCGGGTTCGGTCTGTTCTCTCGCTCGTACAAACTGGGGACCAGCGATACGCATTCCCACACGTAACAACAAACCGAGATGACCAAAAACCAGTAGCAGCTGAAGTGTTTTCTTCCGGTCGACGTAAATACGTTCGTGTCTCTGTCCAATCAGAACCTTCCCCACTGCCAGACGTTGAGCGGAATTAAATAAAGCCGATTTAACGTGTTTTCCGTGTAAACCTTAATTCGGAATTATTAATTACATGTAAACTCAAAGGAGAGTAATTTCATTTGGAATTAATTAAATCGGAATTAGAAAACATCATGTAAACGTGGCCAGTAACTTTTGAAATGCACCGTATTTGTTGTGGTTCTACAGCAGATGGAAGACTTTAGAGGAAGATGGTTTTTGTTGTTGTTGTTGTTGTTTTTTTTTTTTTTTTTAATGGCTTTGATTCAAATTCTGGTTATATTCAGAAAATTAAAACTGAAGCCCGTTTTTTATTATTAAGGAGTGAAGGAAGCTGTTGTGAGGAGAGAATTACATTAGGAGCTTAATGACGCTTCAGTTTGACTCGTAAACCAGCGAACCTCACGAAGGAACGAGGCCGATTCACTCAAACTCCTCCATTTCTGTTAACTGAGTCTCAAACCAGCACCGTCGAACTGAAAAGGACTAACGGAGGGAGCAGACTTTTAAAAACACTTTTTGTGTTTGTGTTAAACTGTCCCTGGTCCGATCTAGGTTTAGTCCCCGGTTTGATCCTGGTTTTAGTCCCTGGTTGGATCCCGGTTTAGTCCCTGGTTGGGTCCCGGTTTAGTCCCTGGTTGGGTCCCGGTTTAGTCCCTGGTTGGGTCCCGGTTTAGTCCCCTGGTTGGATCCCGGTTTAGTCCCCAGGTTGGATCCCGGTTTAGTCCCCAGGTTGGATCCTGGTTTAGTCCCCAGGTTGGATCCCGGTTTAGTCCCCAGGTTGGATCCCGGTTTAGTCCCCAGGTTGGATCCGGGTTTGGTCCCCGGTTTGATCCGGGTTTAGTCCCTGGTTTGGTCCCTGGTTTGATCCGGGTGTGGTCCCTGGTTTGGTCCCTGGTGTGGTCCCTGGTTTGATCCGGGTGTGGTCCCTGGTGTGGTCCCGGGTTTGATCCTGGTTTGATCCCGGTTTGATCCGGGTTTGATCCTGGTTTGAGCCCTGGTTTAGATCCGGGTTTGATCCCTGGTTTAGTCCCTGGTGTGGTCCCGGGTTTGATCCGGGTGTGGTCCCTGGTGTGGTCCCTGGTGTGGTCCCTGGTGTGGTCCCTGTTTGGTCCCTGGTTTGGTCCCTGGTGTGGTCCCTGGTGTGGTCCCTGGTTTGATCCGGGTTTGATCCCTGGTTTGATCCGGGTGTGGTCCCTGGTGTGATCCCTGGTTTGATCCCTGGTTTAGTCCCTGGTTTGATCCGGGTTTGATCCCTGGTTTAGTCCCGGGTTTGATCCCTGGTTTGGTCCCGGGTTTGGTCCCGGGTTTGATCCCGGGTTTGGTCCCTGGTTTAGTCCCTGGTTTGATCCCTGGTGTGGTCCCGGGTTTGATCCGGGTTTGATCCCTGGTTTAGTCCCGGGTTTGGTCCCGGGTTTGATCCGGGTTTAGTCCCTGGTTTGATCCCTGGTGTGGTCCCGGTTTGGTCCCTGTTTTGACCCTGGTGTGTGTCCCTGGTGTGGTCCCTGGTGTGGTCCCTGGTGTGATCCCGGGTTTGATCCCGGGTTTGGTCCCTGGTTTGGTCCCTGGTTTGATCCTGGTTTGATCCCTGGTTTAGTCCCTGGTTTGATCCGGGTTTGGTCCCTGGTTTGATCCGGGTTTGGTCCCTGGTTTGATCCGGGTTTGATCCCTGGTTTAGTCCCTGGTTTAGTCCCTGGTTTAGTCCCTGGTTTGTCCCGGGTTTGGTCCCGGGTTTGGTCCCGGGTTTGGTCCCGGGTTTGGTCCCGGGTTTGGTCTGTCCAGGTCACATGGGGCCAAAAAGAGTCACTTGAAGCTGCAGTGTGAACGTGGTCTGAATGTTCTGATGTTCAGAAATCGTTTCAGGTCGAAGGATGATGTGGTTAAAATGGCGCTGACAGAGAAAGTGTCACTGATGTCATGAAGTTCTGGTTGTTGTGTAAGAATTTAGTTCAGAAGATTGAATCCAGAACCAGAGCTCTGACTCCTCCACGTGCGATGAAAGACGGACCGAGTCTCCGTAACGGACGACTTTATCCACTGGTCGCTGACACAAGTGAGAGACTTGAGACAAATGGTCCCGACGGTCGAGCAGCAACTGGTGTCGTAAAAGTGTTTCGTTACAACTTTAACTTTAGTCACAACATACAAAGTTCACTGGGTCCATAAACTTTAAACTTTAACACCTAAAGAAAAAACAAAAACAAACTCATCCTCACAAGAAACTCACAAGAAACTCACAAGAAACTCACAAGAAACTCACAAGAAACTCACAAGAAACTCACAAGAAACTCACAAGAAACTCACAAGAAACTCTGGTGCGATTATCAATTAACCAAAAACAAAAACACACCATCAGTCACAAAGAACAGAAGACAAAATAAACCCACGACCAGTGTGGAAGGAACAGATTACATGTACCAGAGTAATCAGAGTACAAATGACGAGTAACTGTATTCAGTTACAGTTACTGTTTCAGTGAGTGGTAATTGGATTACAGTTACTTTGTTGAAATAAATGAATTACACAGAGGGATTTTCCGGTTTTCACATTTTGGGCTATATCCTTTTTTTTTTTTAAACTGACACTAAACTAGGTCTAAACCAGGGACTAAAACTAGGTCTAAACCAGGGACTAAAACTAGTTCTAAACCAGGGACTAAAACTAGTTCTAAACCAGGGACTAAAACTAGTTCTAAACCAGGGACTAAAACTAGTTCTAAAACCAGGGACTAAAACTAGTTCTAAACCAGGGACTAAAAAGGGACTAAAACTAGGTCTAAACCAGGGACTAAAACTAGGTCTAAACCAGGGACTAAAACTAGGACTAAAACTAGTCTAAACCAGGACTAAAACTAGTTCTAAACCAGGGACTAAAACTAAACCAGGACTAAAACTAGTTCTAAACCAGGGACTAAAACTAGGACTAAACTAAAACCAGGACTAAACTAGAAACCAGGGACTAAACTAGGAAAACCAGGGACTAAAACTAGACTAAACCAGACTAAACTAGGTCTAAACCAGGGACTAAAACTAGGACTAAACCAGGGACTAAACTAGGACTAAACCAGGGACTAAAACTAGGTCTAAACCAGGGACTAAAACTAGTTCTAAACCAGGGACTAAAACTAGTTCTAAACCAGGGACTAAAACTAGTTCTAAACCAGGGACTAAACCAGGGACTAAAACTAGGTCTAAACCAGGGACTAAAACTAGGTCTAAACCAGGGACTAAAACTAGGTCTAAACCAGGGACTAAACCAGGGACTAAACCAGGGACTAAACCAGGGACTAAACCAGGGACTAAACCAGGGTTTCAAACCAGGGTTTCAAACCAGGGTCTCAAACCAGGAGTAAAATCAGGTTTTAACAGGACTAAACCAGGACTAAACCATGCCGCGTGGACAGTGTTTCTTCGTCTTCTATCAATAATATTTTTAATTTGGTTCAGTAAAATCTGGACTTTTTATTTTCTTTTTATCAGACCAAACTTCTTATGTTCAGATTTCCTCGTCTTTGTTTCTCTACAGCAAATCAAGTAATCCAAAGTATTCAGATTACATTACTCACTTTAAGTACCTTAATGGATTATGTTACAAACTACATTTTGGTGTGTGTAATCTGTAATCTGTAGGGGATTACATTTTAAAAGTAAACTTCCCAACACTGTCCACGAAGAACGTTCCACATGTTTTCAACTTAAAATTTTCCATAAACTTGCATTTTGTTCCTATTTAATAACGAAAAGCTTCTGTTTGATTCGACAAAATTTAATATTTTCTGTGTTCTGTGCATTTAAAGTTTCTTGATAATCGGGGCCTGGAGCAGAGATGCAGGTTTGTGTTTTTCTCGTTGCTTCCTTTGCGTCTGGGCTGGGCCTCGTTTGCTTTTATTCCCCTTTTTGAATGTTAGGGGAAGTTGTGGTTGAAGTTAAACGTTAACATGAACTGTGCACCTGGCGCTTGCAAACTGTCACACAACGGACAACCGTTGCCATCTTAAAGGTTGTATGGAGGATTTTTTTTATTTTTTTTTTAGTTTCAAATTGTCAATGAAAGTTTAAAATACCATTACAGAGACGCAGCAGCCTTGTGATTATGATGACCAAAAAAAAAAAAAGAATGAAAATCTATCAACTGTGGATGTGTCGAGGTCAGATAATCAGCCAATAGAAAACGAGGCTCCCTCATTTTCTATTGGCTGTTAGGTCGTCAATCAAACTCCCTACGTTTCTAGTGTAACTGACTCGCCAGCGCGCTGGGATTACGTGGTTTATGCGGCGGGTCTTAGAGGTTTTTTTAAACTGTTGCTTCCTCGCATTTCGCACAAAGTTTGTTGCGATGTCGGACGAGAATCTACGACCAGTTCGCCGCAAAAGAAAGTCCGTTTTTGAGGTCGCCGAAAGAAGAAAAGGGGAAAAGGAGCGAAGACGAACTGAGGTGATTCTTGGAAATTCCTTCCAGCGATGGCGCGAATGAAGCAGACGAAGGGTCTAAAAACTGTCGCGTCGGTCGCTAAATTACTTCTAGACAGGAAACTTCAACAGTATTTCTGAACACGCACTGGCTGTAAACAAGTCTAGAGTAAAGAGGTGTTTCTACTGAGGAGCTGTGGAGGAGGAAGGTGGTGTCACGCAGGCACAACATTTAAAAAGGACTCGCTGTATTTCTCTTTCCTTTTTTAAAAAATAAAATAAAATCCTCTATACAAACTTTAAACCTTTCAGTGTAGATTTAGTGCACCCCCTGTAGTTCTGTCAAAATCACTAAATAAATGTATTTTGCAGTGTGATGGAAAAATACTGACAGAAAATTTACTCTAAACGATAATACTGAACCCGGTAAACACTTGTAAATGTTTAATACTGGGAAGGAAAAAATAAGCTGCAATGAATTATTTAGTAACCTCAAAGACTCTTTATAGTGAAGAGTTTAACCCACAATTCAGAGGAGTGCACTAAAACTACGGTAAAAGTTAAATGTGCTTATGCCACGGCCCCCTGGCATTTCTCCGCCTGTTCACCCTCTGAAAATGTGATTTCTGTGTTGTTGCATGAAACTACTCCCTTCAATCTCGGGTCGAATCAGTTCAGCAGTTTTCCTGTTGCTATGTTGATGCAAATTTGAAATACAGCGGCGCACGGCAGCCTCACTGTCTGCGTCACTACTTCCTGGAAAAACTCTGTGGTTTTTCTGAACGATAACATGTTCAAAAATAAAGCGGAGAACGGAGCTGTGGGCGGAAGTCGCCTGCAACCTGTTAAAAAGCACAAATACAATTTCAGCAGAGGACGTTTGTGTCTCAGTGTTAATGTTGAGACATAATAAAACACCACAAACTGAAGTAATTGGGTTTTAATTTAATTCAAATTTGAATAGGTTTATTTTATGTTTTACGATTTTAATAAGTGTGTGTTGGCTTTGATCACAGTGAGATGACGCGTTCGTGTCCTGTTAATGTGCAGAAGTTAAGCACTGGGATTCTCTCTGACCGCGGTGTGGAGTTAAGTGCGATGTCTCTTCCGGGTTCATCATTTGATTGCAACAAGATTATGAGCCTGGATCTGTGGTTATACCTGTGTCAGGAAGTGCACGAGGGTTGAGGTGTTAGTGGTGACGAGGATTAGTTTCTCGCAGTATCAAAAAGCAGCAGCAGTATCAGTTTCATTACCGTCATTAAAAAATATCTGCAGCGCATAAGGACCTAATGTAGGTGAGTTTCATTGTTGACAAAGGCGCACGTTGCATGCTGGGAATTATTTTGGTCGGCGGCAAGAAACACTAATTCAACATGACGGACGGAGCGAGAAAGCACGTAAAGGGTATTGATCCCGGTTATTTATCCACTCTAACGGCAGAGGACCCAAGACCATTTGACCAGAAATTGGTCATAAATATCGACGGACGACAAATCACCCTTTTCAACCCCGACAGAGTCTGGACCAAACCAAATTTCTGGTCAGAATCTCCAACTACTTGGACAAATATTCACTTGGGTGATATCCACAATGACTTGGTGGAAACTCCTGGGCCATTCACAGCAGAAAAGATGAAAACCTCCAAGAGTCTCGATGTGTTGTTGAACTTGTTGGAGTCCACGGTTTGTTAGGATCTTCTACGTTTGCTCTGTGGATGTTTGAAAGTCGTTTAATTCACCGTTAGCGGTTCTTTTCACTCAGAATACGAAAAAGACATTTTCCTTCTATTTGTGCATCCGATAATGCAGCAGGAATTTACCATTATTGGGGATAAGTACGTGAGGTTACGCACTGTGTTTGACGCTACCGTGTTTATTGCCTCCGACCAAAGTATTTCCCAGCATGCAACGCGGGCTTTTGTCAACAATGATGTCAGCTGAAATTCTCTTATATAATTTATTGATACCTACATTTGTTTGCTCAGCACAAATGAATGTGTGGTTTTATTTTAGTTTAATGTTTCATGATTTAAAACTAATAGTGTCTGTAATTAGTGACGGGCGAGTGGAGCCTCGTGAAGCATCGACGCCTCAGTCAATATCGCCTCAAATGGTTCGACTTGTCTGAGGCCTCGGAGAAACACTGACCTCTAGTGGACAAACTTAACCATTGCAAACCAGCACACAACCCATGATTTGGGAACCCAAAACTCTATTTTCTATTTTATTAGAATATATACTATTTATGACTTCTCTTTTGAACATTTAAAGAAATACAACAATTTATATATACATGCTGTAAAAAAAACAGGTGTTACCTTGTTAGGTGGAATTAAATCAAAGTGATCCCAAACCATGGATCGCTTTTTTCCCACTTGTAGATGCCGTCAAAAATGAAACGAACGCCAAAAGTCGTGAAAAGTCGCCAAAATCACCACTAACGTCACACAATCCTCCTCACTACCCAACATTTTTTAAGAAATATTGGTGCATCTTTTATACTGTAGCAGTTTAGCGCTTGTCAAACCACGGAAGTGCGCTGAGCACTCTGAACCAATCACAGAGCGGAACATTCGCTGAGCCAATGAAACGCTTCGATACACTGAAGCATTCGACACGCAGAGTGAAGCAGTAGGGCGAGGGACCCACACTTCCACACTTTGGTCACGTGAGCGGCTGCTGTGAGACGAGCTCCGAGGCAGAGCTCCGGAGCAGTTTGTTTCAGAAAGAATGAGACGGGCAAATGAGACTGAGCTCTGGAGCACATCACTGTCTATAATGTTTAACTGTGTGGGGAGACAACGTTCGATTAGTTTCGTTCCATTGTCACGTGACTCTCATAAGAGACAAAGACAAGACGACAAGTTCGGCCACAAGCAAAAAAAAATACTAGAATACAAATACTTCTGCAGTTTGTTAGCGTTTTGGCTTCAGGCCACATTTGTGTATATTTTACAGAAATGAAACTTAAAGCCACATGGCTCATTTGCATAAACTGTAAGCGCTGATAAAAACAGCTCTTTCCTTGTGTCATTGATGCGGATCAGCTTCTGTTGGACTAAAGGACATGACTCAGTGGAATATGAGTGTTCTTTCTGTGACAGAGGGGTGTTCTGCTGATGGTGAGTCTGTCCTGTGATAGTATCAAGTTGGAGATGGTTCATATGAAACTTTTCCAAGATTATACCCCGGTAAGATCCTGAGAAGGTTTAACCCCAGTGGTGACTTGTGGTGGTGCATTTGATTTGAGTTTGTGGTTGAACATACTGCTGTGAAGTTTTATCATGTAACATCTCACTGAAGAGCTTTAATCCTTGAAGAATAAGTGTAGTCATATTTATTGTGACTGATCTAACCCCTGAATAACACTCAATGGTTCATACAAATTACTCAAACTAATACCATCTTTTCTTTACTTTTTTCTAGACATGTAATGGAGTAACAGGACCATTTGTTCAAAGACTTCTCTGGCTATGCCCTCTGGGCTTCACCACAGGAAAGATCTGGCCTCCACTGCGTTTTACCACCATCAGACCAATGCAGAGGCAGCAGTCTCTCCCTGCTCTGCTGCCATGTCTTTGGCCACTCTTCAAACCATGGTGGACTCATTACGTGTTTCACCTTCAAACGTGCAAAGCTCGACTCATTCAAGTCAGAAAGCTACAAGTTATGGACAGAGACTATTACCTGTTCACAAGGGACTGACGTCAGACAGTGATCCTGTGAGCGCTAGTACGAGCGATGAAAGGCTCCTAGATAACAAGAGGTGGTATTACTTAACGAACAGTAATGCCTCACCTTCCCAGCAACTGAACGGAACACTTCAGCCCTTAGCCGACAGCTCCGTTGGCTCTGCCATGACCAGCGCACAGTCCTCCGGTACTAAACCATCCCTGGACGACGATCAGATCCTGTACCTGATTGAGAACAAGCTTAAAAAGTTCAGAGTCAAAATGAAAGCGTTGAAGGAGCAAGGTTCCCCTGACGCTTCGAACGGTAAGGCTTCAGGTTCTCCTCAGGGCAGCTCACCCATCACGCCATCTGCCTCTGCTGCAGAGAACCTCACAGTGAGGACTCTGAGGGACGAAGAGTGTTCAGAAGGCAGCGGACAAAATCCAGGGAGGATGCGACTGGAGAGCGCACCAGCGCTGGAGGGGACGCCAATGGAGAGGGCACCGGTGCCGGAGGGGACGCGACTGGAGAGGGCACCAGTGCCGGAGGGGACGCCAACGGAGAGGGCACCGGTGCCGGAGGGGACGCGACTGGAGAGGGCCCCGGTGCCGGAGGGGACGCGACTGGAGAGGGCCCCGGTGCCGGAGGGGACGCGACTGGAGAGGGCCCCGGTGCCGGAGGGGACGCGACCAGAGGGGGCCCCGGTGCCGGAGGGGACGCGACCAGAGGGGGCCCCGGTGCCGGAGGGGACGCCAACGGAGAGGGCCCCGGTGCCGGAGGGGACGCCAACGGAGAGGGCCCCGGTGCCGGAGGGGACGCCAACGGAGAGGGCCCCGGTGCCGGAGGGGACGCCAACGGAGAGGGCCCCGGTGCCGGAGGGGACGCGACTGGAGAGGGCCCCGGTGCCGGAGGGGACGCGACTGGAGAGGGCCCCAGTGCCGGAGGGGACGCGACTGGAGAGGGCCCCGACTGACAAGCATTTCACAGGTACAGGCAGTGAGATATAATAGGGGACAAGAGATCGTCGCCATGGTAGCCTATAATAAATATACATACAATATAATATAATTCAATATAGTAAAAAAAATAAAAAATGTATTCGAATCCAGTTTATTTATGAAACCCTATTAAAAACGACAGAGTTGGCCAAAGTGTTATACACAAAAAACATGTATAATACAGTGAAAAAATATATTTAGCAGTTATTGAACAATAAGACCTCAAAACTATTTAAAAGCCAAAGAACTCAAGTGTGATTTAAAAGCAAGAAGAGAGTTGACTTATGTGAACAGATTTTATAGTATTGTATATAAGTTGCTCTGGAGTATAAGTCGCACCAGCCAAAAAATGTGTAATGAAGAAAAACATATAAACCGCACTTCTTGGGGTTATAGTAATAACAATAGAACGAAGAACAGGCTGAATCGGCGTCTTCATCCATCCATCCATCCATTAATTCAATTCTTCATCTTCGGTGTCACTTTAGAGCAACTCGGCCTCGACCTCCGGAGGTAAACAGAGCGCCGCAAACTGTTCCTCTGGTTTCGGGGTCACTGAAGTCCAGGCTTTGTCCATCCATCCAGTGACTTCAGGAAAGTTTCATGGTACATCCTCCCGGTTCCCGTGAAGCTGTGTTCTCCAGTCCCTCACAAGTTTCTCGCTCACACCGAACTTTCTTTCTGCTGCTCGATTAGTTTTTAGCTGAATATTTCACGACTTGCAGCAGGACACAGGCTCTTTCTGCAGTAGAGTCAAGTGACGGTGGTACAGGAGGAACAGATACTGGGACACAAGCCTAGAGCATATATACAAGTCCCAGGAAATGCCCAAACCAAGAAAAAAAGTGTGACTTATACTCCGAAAAATATAGTAATAGGCACGTAGTAAGCAGATATCAGTGGTTAGTTTCACATGGTGCATTATCACGCAGCATAGATTCATTTTCATTATAAAATATATAAAACAGTGCAGTGTTTTTAGATCAATATTCATCCTGCATTATTAGGACTCAGTTACACCATTATATGTCCATTTTGAACAATTAAATTAATTAATTTTATGTCTGCCGCATTTGCTACAGCAACAGAACGCTCCTTCTTTCTAGGCCTTTTAATGCATCATTGGCTACACCCTTCTCAAAATCACTTTCCTCTCTCTAAAATTATAGTTTTTTTTGTATTGCTGGAGAATTTACATACCGTATTTTCCGGGCTATTAGACGCGCTCTAATCGCATCAAAAAACGACCACACGCCCCACAATCCAGAATGCCCCATACACGAACCCACTCAAGTGTCCCAGCACGACTTCAGTAAACTACAAAGCCGCAAACACACAAACACACACGGAGCAGACAGCGACCGCACAGAGACACACACCCACAGACACACTCATCACTCCACGCCGACGAGGAACGGAACAGAGGAACGAACCGAAAAAGCGAGCGCAATGTGCCACTTCTAGACACGACTGAACAACTGAGTCACTGCGAAATAGACCATTTAATGACAGTGCATCTTATAATTCAGAGCGACTAATAGTGCGGAAAATACGGTACTCAAACTACTGCTACTACTTTGTTTTTAGTGAACATTAGCACTATTCATGTCCATCAGCTGTAAGTTCAGTTCTTTGGATGAGGTAGTAACTGAAGTGGGAATTGGATAACGTTCATCTTTTTACGTCCACAGAGCGCGACCAGATCATCACAGCTCTAATTCACTCAAACATGGAGGACAAGGAGAAGGATGATTCCACGGGCCTCAGGGCCCCGTTCAGTTCACCACCGGGAGAACTCGTCACTCAGAACCTGGACTCCACCGCGCACCACACACCGCCCGATCACGGACACAACGGTGCGGCAAACGACCACAGTACGCCAAAGGATGTCATGAAGGGAGTGGACGCCGCCACTGTGATTGCCGACTCAACGCTAAGCAGGTCGATTCAAGCGTTAGCACTTAGAACTGACGACCAGCAACCCTTTGGTACAGATTCAGACAATGAAGCTTCTCACACAGTTGAAACATCAAAATTAAGTAAATCCAACTCGTCTGCTGGTCTTGAAAACTTGGCTCTCAGCTCCTTTCAGATCGTTAACGTTAACAAAGTCCCTGATGTTACATCCTCTGTCGCAGATTACCAACAAGTAACTGCGCCTGAACCACAACGAAAAGAACTGACGGCAGAAAGAGTAGAAATAGGGGTTCAGGCTGGTGAGGGCAGAATAGAAATGGACAACACTGACGGGTCGAGTATCCCGGGATATCCAGAGTTTGAAGACATAACAGAGGAGTCCACACCTAATAAACCTCAAATGAGTACGTTAACGCGGTCTCCAAAACAGCTCACAAATGCAAAAACTAGTACAAATGTTACATCAGAACCAGCAGAAAGGCCGACACCCAAACGACAAGAACCAGAAGCTCCACTCAGATGCTCTTGTCCATACCTCGTTGAGACCGATGATGGTTTTAAAACGGTACCCTGTCCAAAATGTGCCCAAGCGACGCCGTTCCCAAAACGGGAAGAACAATCCGAGGAGGAGTCCGATTCAGAGGAAGTGATACTGTTTGTGACCGACTTGGTTCTAGAGGATGAGATCATTGTTTTGGACTCTAGCGATGACGAGGGAGCGGAGGATGTTTCCAGTGCAGAGCAGCAGGATCCAGACCCTATTTTCCGGAGAGTCGAAGAGTTTGAAACTTTTGACAGTTTTTATCAATCAAAAGTTGGACAACTCCAAAAGAACTTATCAAATCCTCTTGTAGCTACAGGAGCCAAACTAGGAGCTCCTGCTGAATCTGAGCCATCACGTCGCAATTTACCTAAAAATTTACCTGTTGAAAAGATTGATTCTGAGCAGGTGTTGCCTCACTGTAGTTCACAGAAACAATGGAACGCTGCTGAAAAGGATTCTGAAATGGCACCAGCCCCTAAACTTGTGGGAATTTTTGAAAAGTTTTCTCCTGAACTGATGCAGACCCCTCACTGTAACATGAACGACAGCAGTGACACAGACGATAGTTCGGATTACCCTTCACACACACAGCCCAACTATCTCGCTGTGTCCGATATGGTCGACGCCCCGTCTCCACACTCCTATGACTACACCGGTGAAGATCATGAAGAGTCACTCCAAGCTTCTCCTGAAATTACACAGGATACTTCAGATTGGTTTCCTGCTTTGAGTCCAGACAGTGAAAGTGAAGTAGAACCAGCAAAACCCATTGAAAGCACAGAAAGGTCTGAAACGCCTTTCAAAAAGGCAAAGTACAAGTCACGCCGCATCATAGAGAGTGATTCTGAGCCTGAGAATGATCAAGGTGAGAGCGAGACACATTTCCTCTCTGGGTTGCAAGGATCTGAAAAGTCAAGCCCCATTCCTAGTGATTTAGACTGTGACAGTGACGGTGATCAGGTTCATTACAGGAGATTTAGCAAAACCATGTCAGTGACGAGTGAGACTTCCACTCAGCCACGCAAGTCCTGTTTAAAACCTCAACCTAGTTCATCATCTACACACTTACCAAAGCCAAGACCAGAAGCTCATGCCCAGAATGTGTCATCAGTTTCAAGCAAAGTAAACAATGTGGGTCAAAAGATGGCATTCAAACGGCAAAAAACCAAAACAGACCTCAAAGGTGACATACAAGCTAAAAGAAAAAGGACTTCTCTCGACACAGGTAAACAACGACCTGAAATTATGGCAGATCAGGCCTCAGGGTCAAGCATAAATGCTCCAAATTTTTCTTTCATTTTGGGAGGAGAGCAGTACCGTGCATCAAGTCTACCTCCCCCAGACCACAGTCGATTAGCCTCAGACTCCATCAGAAAGACTCAACCAACCCCACAGGGTCCACCAAAATCTCAGGACTCACTTTTAAGTTCAAATGTGAATTCATACAGCACTGTGAAGTCGACACCAGCTAAGCAAGCACTTGTCAGAGGCTGGTCAGACAGCCACATCTCAATCCGGAAAGAGCGGCGAAGGAGCCACGAAGCAGATCAGAGCCAGAACAAGCGGAGAAGGAGCCACGAAGCAGAGTTCTCAAGAACGGTCCAGAATGCAAAGACTAAAAGTCCACTCAAGCCACGGAAGAGACATAACTCTCAAAACCTGGCTCCTCTGATGAAGAAGACCAAACTTCAAGCCAAGACGTTGACCAATGCGGTGCACCACAAAGAGTCCACCACGCCAAGTGTGTTCTGTTTGATTTCTGTTTAATAATTGCTCATTTTGACGTTGGACCTGACTTACATTGGACTTGAATGCATCTTCCTGATCCTTGTAATTCTAGGTGAAGTGAATGTCGGTGAGAGGTACAAGTGGAAAGAAAAGATGCCAGCAAAAGAGCATATGGATGGTAAGATGTATGATGATTTATTAAACAAAGAAGAATGAGGTTATGAATGCACGCACGTACTAAACAAATGAAATGGAAAAACATTTAGATTGAAAGTTTTAGTTTGGCACACAATTCAGTTTTAGTGTCACAATCCCAAAATATATTTAACGGCAGAGTTGCTGCATCTGTGACAGAAACAAATTTTATTTTAGTGGGAAAATCTGTTTTATTTGTGAGGAAAAAAATCCCCATCAGTACATGGAAAGTAAAGGTGAAGGGATGTGCCACACATTTCCTGTACTCTCATGAAACTATGACCTAAATTCTGAAATCTTGAGTAGAGTCATAGTGATACATTTTTGCCAAAAATAAAGTCGACATGTTTAGGGGCAGATGCAGAATCAAAGCGACTGTAGACCAAAAAGAATGGTGCTCGGAGTTAAAAGGGTTTATAAAAGCCCAGAGAGAATGTCAAACTATGACACTAAGTGTTGGAGGAGGCAGATCTGAGTCTGAGCCGTAGGAGGAGCTTCTGCCCACTTCAAAACCTCTGTGCTTCAGGAAGTAAATTTCCATTTTCCCTTTGTTTTTCCCCATAGAAAAACATTCCAATTTTAAGATTTTAAAGACATAATATGGTCTTACCATTTATGTGGCAACTAATGTCCATAATGTGGTTTTCAGTCAATTTTTTGTTTATAAAGTTTCAAAAACAGATTCTAAATTAAAGTATAGGTCTTATGATTGTTAGGGAGCACAGAGATTATCCACAAATTAGCTTTTAAACCTTTAATATTACCATTTCTTTTGGAAATGAATGAGGAAATTTACTTTCAGAATCTTCATCTCAACTAGAGTCTGACTGTTACAGTTGATATTATCAGAGGACCCAGGGCCCTGGAGGCAGAGCCTCAGTGGTGAAGCTCCCACATCTGGTAGTTTCATTACGTATCATGATTAGGATGTTACAAACATGACATATGTTGAATAAGCTTTGAATGTGTAACCATATATGCAGTGTTGGGAAGGTGACTTTTAAAATGTATTCCCCTACAGATTACAGATTACATACCCCAAAATGTAGTTTGTAATGTAATCCATTAAATTAAAGTGAGTAATGTAATCTGAATACTTTGGATTACTTGATATTGTCATGCTTTTTAAAACTACATGAATGTTCCGACCACATCCTGAAAATTCTTGTTTTCTTCAAATTGTCTGTTGAGCCCAAGTCTCTATGTATAAGCAACAGTTTGCTGTAAAGTAGCAAAGACAAGGATCTTAACATAAAATGTTTTGTCTGCTTAAAGACAATAAAAAGCAGA